TTGTTTTGGCGGGTCCGGGCTGAGGATTCAAACCCGCCACCTTAGGTGTACGTGGCTGGCGCCTTAGCCGGTTGAGCCATAGGTGCCGAGCCCTGAATGGGAACTCTTAAAGCCCCTTGTCCTCCCTAGTTTCACCTCTCTGGAAAGCCTTCCTTAATCCTCTTGTAGGGGAACCATCTAGAAAGCAGTTTAATACATAGTTCTAAAGTTCAGGAGCAAGCTCTGGGCCGAAGATCAAGATCTAGGAGTCACCATCTGGGGTTCTTGGCCAGAGCAGAGTCCTAGAGAGCTGCAAGTGTGTGTGCCGGGTGGACTATAGAAGTTAAGGGCAGTGGTATGGAAATAGCAAGCATAGACAGTTCCAGGCTAGAAAAAGGAAGAGAATGATCAGCTTGCAGGATCAAAGGACTCTGTGTATGTATGCATGTATGTATGTATTTATTTATAGCTTGGGAGAGACTTCAATATTTATATTGGCTGTAAGGAGGAAAGCAGTAGAGACACTGAAAACCAAGCACTTAATGGTCCTTGATTATGCATCTGTGATGCACAGGACAAATAAGGAGCCTGCTCTCTTACAACTAACACGCTGTGTGGAAAGAGGCAGCAAGCAAGTTAGCCCATATTGTCAGATATTTATATTGCTTCCATCATGTCACTGTTATAAATAATACAGAGGTGAACTTCCTCACTCATACATCATTGTGCATTTGTTTTGTCTTATTAGGACATGTCTAGGATAAATTCCTAGATATGAAATCACTGGTTTTAAGGGTCAGCTTTAGACATACTTAAGCTGCCTTTCAGGAATGGGGCGTGCCCATTTGCACGTTCATTTCCAATAGCCACACAGACTCCTCTGTATAGATGTGCAGCATCAGCTGGTTTGTACCCAAAAAAAGGAAAACAAAAGTTTGGAAGGAGAGCAGAAGGAGTCAAAATTTAGGACTAGGCTTGCATTCCAGGGTTGTTTTTTTTTTTTTAATGGAGCCAGAATGTTCTCTGTGGGATCTCTCAGTGTAGTGGAAGGGAGTATAGTATTATAATAATAGTAACTAGCAATTATTGAGTGCCTGGCAGAGTTTTAAGCTTTTGTATTAATTCCTTTGATTCTTACAATATTCATCAGAATGGCTGTCTGAGTTTGAATCCTGACCCCATTATCTTAGCCCTGTGACACCATCACCTCTATCCGTCTCACTTTTGTTAGACACAAAATGAAGATACTTACCATGCTCATCTTGTGAAGCAGCTATGAAGTTTGAAATGATGTCATATGGGCAAAGTGCTCAGTCTGTGCTCCCATGTCTCCCATCTTGTGGAAGTAAACTTTGAGAGGAAGGGAGAGATTCTCCAGGGTTCCACCCTGGATCCCTTTTGGTCATTCACTGGACCACTCCTGACAGGTGGATGAAATCTTGGGGGACCAGCTGACTGCCAAGGAGCAGGTATTTGCTGCATTGAAGCAGTTTGCAACTGAGCAGCGAGTGGATGACCTGGTGTGGGCTCTCACCCTGGCACTGCCCCGAGAGGCCTACTGGCCACTCTTGGACAACCTCAGGTACTGCAGTCTGGGGTCAAGATGGGAAGGCAGGGTGGATGTCACTCAGGGCTGTCTAGTTTCCTAGCAGCCCAGGTCAGAGATGGTGGCTCACTCTTGAGCTGGATGCCAACGTGCCGTTAGCCCCGGAACAAGGGTGACCCAGCGAGCCCACAGGGCATCCTTGGGAAGACAGCTTTTGGCTCTGCTGGAGGTCAGGGTACTGCCCTGTGAGTGATGAGACCTGGGACAGACCTCAGAGAGGCTCCACCCCCTGATCTAAAGTCATGACCTGCCCTGCTCCATCACAACCCCTAGAACATATCTCTAATAGAATACCAGATATGCCCAGTTCTTTCTTGAGACAGAGTAATGGCACAATGCAAGGGCAAGGAAAGAAGCCTAGGATTGTGCCATGTGGATCCCTGAAGCTCACCTCCCACCCTACAAATAGTGTGCATCCCCTGCCCTCTGATGTCTTTTGATGATGATTAAATATGTGTCAAGGGCCTCACCAGGCCCTAAAGGAACACTCTCTGGCTTAATCCCCACAGAATTATTATTAACCCCATTCCACAGAGACAAACTGAGGCTCAGAGAGGTTGAAAGGTTCGCCCAAGCCACACGGCAAATTAGTGGCAGTCACAGGACTGTGAACCCTGTCAGCAATGCACTTTCTGCTCTTCTGCTTTGCTTTGGACTCAACCTCTAAATTGACTAGGGGTGGGGGAGATTTCCTGGTAGAGTGACTCAATCTCCTGACCCCACCTCATCCTCTGAGGGCCGGTTTTGACCAGGCCCCCTCTGAGTCTGAGGGATGCTTTCCCTAGCTGGATCTCGCCCAGCTTTCTTTCCATCGCTCCAGCCTCCCGGGCCTGCCTGCCGCGGCTCCCCCATCTTCCCCTCCCCCTTCCCCGGGCTCAGCCCGCCCCCTCCCCTCGCTGCCATTCACCCCCGCTGCCTGCCCCTCCCTCTGGGCCTGGCCAATGTCAGAGACTGGGCTGGCCACCCTCCTCTCCCCCCGCCCCGCAAGCCCCGGTGCAGTGCCTCAGCTCTGCAGCAGAGCTTAAGAGACCACCGAAAGAGGCCACCATGAGCTGCCTGGGGTGAGTAAGGGCTGAGCCCCTTGCTTGGAAAATCCGGAGAGGGGGAAAAAAAAAAAAAGAAGAAGAAAGTTATTTCTAGAGCAGAATTTGCCACGGAGATACGCTAGCTCTGAGGGTTTTCTGGGGAGGTGATGGATGGGCAGCCCCTCGCCCGGTCCCTCTCCGCCTCGGCTGGACCAGGGGAGCGCCGGCTGCTGGCTGTCCCCCGAGAAGTTGACGCTCTTGTCTCCAGGATGCTGACAGCCGGACTCGGCTGGAGGCCACAGCGGTTCCCTTCATCTCCCTCGGTGCTGCCCGCTTCTGCTCCTGCCTCCTCTCCCCGCCAGTCTGCTCCTGTTCCTGCCTCCTAGGACAGCCCCCTCGCCCGCCTTTCCCGGCTGCAGTTCGTCCCCAGGCGACCACAGCCGCTGCAGCGGGTCAGGAAGGGCGGGGGAGGGGCACCGGGGGGGGGGCCCCCCCCCCCCCGCCCCTGGCGTGCTTGATTTAGAACCCGAGAAGCGGGAACCTTGGACACCTGGGGATGCTCGGTCCCCGCAGCATTCCTCAGAGCACTGCTGGGGAGGATCAAACCGCAGCCTATGTTATCAGAGCGTGTCAAGTGCGACAGGAAAATTGGGGAGGCTACCAGAGAAGGGGGTGGTGCCCAGCTGAGCTCTGTAGGGAAAGGGTTACCCTTTCCAGGAGGTTTTAGCCACCCTCCACCTCACCAGCACTTCCCCCTTCCCACTTCCTAACTGCTCCTCCCCAAGGGTGACCAGTCCCCAGTGGCCCCATGTGCTGGACTCTAGGTAAGGGGTGGCCATCCCTGTGCAGCACCTCCTGGAGAGAAACAGTATGAGGGAGTCACAGACACAGCTGTGGTTCCCAGAGTTGAGGGGCAGCTGAGGGCTAAATCAGCATGGAATAATCAGGGCAGGCTCCTGGGAGGAGGCAGCAGGTGACAGTGCTGCAGCTCAGACAATAACACCTATGGGATCTGGCAATATCTCCTGTGGAGGTGAGAGGACAGTCCCCAAGGGCAGTTCATCAGGGCCAGGTATCTAGCCAGAGGGTGAGAGCAGTGCTACACTGGCCCATGGGACCTAACCATGCCCAGCTGTGAGCCACCCAGCAGAGAGCCATTGTTCTGGCCCCTGGACCCCACATCAAGGAGAAAGAAAGTTTAACTGAAAGGTTGAATGGCCAAAGGATGAGAGTTGAACAATGTGTGTGTGTGTGTGCCTGTGCATGCATGCATGGGCATGCATGTGTGTTAAAGCTCCACACCAGAGCTAGAACCTACCCAAATCAGAGAGGGATGGCCTTACTGAGGAGTGGCCCCAGTGGCCAAAATAGAAGGCATGGGGAGAAGGGAGAAAGAGCAGTAAGACCGTGAAGCTGGGCCAAATAACCACTAGCTACATGTGGTTATTTAACATTAAATTTAATTAATACTTGATAAAATTTGAAGTTAATTCTCCCAGCCTCACTAGCCACATTTCAAGCACTTAATAGCCATATATGGCTATTGGCTACTGAATAGGACAGGGCAGATATAGAACAAATTTTTCATCCCAGGATCTCAGGTTATTCTCTAGAACAGCACTGCTGCTATGAAGGGTGAGATGGGTTAGTGGCTGCAAAGAATGCAAGAGGTCTTGTCTTCCTCTACAGAGGCAGCTAATCCTGTAACTCAGAGACTAATTCGGATCTGTCCCCAAAGGGATCCTAGTCTGATGAAGTGATAAAATGTCTTTCTAATTAGGACAGGCTAGGCAGTTTGGAAAGTGTGATGTGGCCAGGAGGGAACAGGAAAGCAGAGTCAGCTCTGTGGTCCCCTAATGTCTCAGAAAATACGGGAGGGTCAAGAGGCTCAGTGGGGGTGGTGGAAGCTGGGATTTAGAATCCCAACATACCTGGCTTGACCCGCAGGTCCATTCACTGACATTGCAACCTTGAGCAAGTTCATTGACCTCTATAGTTTGTAAAATGGAATTTTTATTTTTTTTTTTTAGAGACAGGGTCCTCCTGTGTTGCTCAGGCTGGTGTGCAGTGGCATGATCATAACTCATTGTAACCTCAAACTCCTGGACTCAAGCAGTTCTCCACCTCAACCTCCCAAAGTGCTAGTATTACAGGTGTGAGCCACTGCAGTTGGCCTAATTTTTAACCTTTTGTAGGGATGAGGTCTTGCTGTGTTGCCCAGGCTGGTCTCAAATTCCTGGGCTTAATCCATCCTCCCACTTCAGCTTCCCAAAGTGGTAGGATTACAGGGCATCAGCCACTATGCCCAGCACAGCTTAGTAATTTCTATGTGTTCCCAGCAGGGTTCTTGAGAGGAAACCATATAAATGAACTCTGCCAAATTTAAGTAGAAAAAAGATTAGTTGGGAATCTAGGGATAGGGTATGAGGAGGGACCCTCTGTTGCCCCATGCTAGAGTGCTGTGGCTGTCAGCCCAGCTTACAGCAATCTCAAACTCCTGGGCTCAACCAATCCTCCTGCCTCAGCCTTCCAAGTAGCTAGAACTACAGGCAACTGCTATAACACCCAGCTAGTTTTTCTATTTTAAGTCGAAACTGGGCTCACTCTTGCTCAGACTGGTCTCAAACTCCTGAGCTCAAGCGATCCTCCAGCCTCCCAAGAGTGCTAAGATTATAAGTGTGAACCACCACACCCGGCTCACCCTTTTCTGCTTTAGTGTCAAATGTCAAGGGCACCATAATACAGAGTTATTGGGAGAATTCTGAGACTACAGAGGCAGAAGTACCAGGCTTATAATATGTGCCAAATTAGACCTCAGGAAAGGTCTTTTTCCCAAGAGCAAGCTTCTCAAGTATGGCACTAATGATATTTTGGTCCTGATATTTCTCTGTTGCTGAGGCCTGTCCTATACCTTGTAGGATGTTTAGCAATACCCCTGACTTCTACCCCACTAGATGCCAATACCACACCCACCTCTCAGTTGTCATTTTGTGACAAACAAAATGTCTCCAGACACTGCCAAATATCCCCTAGGGAACAAGTCACCCCTGGTTGTTTACCCTAGAGGAATCTTTGGCAGTGCCCTCTCACTGAGACGGGCACTTCAGGGAAGTCCACCTGTTGTCTGTCCCCCTAGTGACCACGCTATGCTGCTGTGGATCACCTGGCCAATGGTACCAGCTGCTGGCCCCATCCACTGTCCCCCACTGTGCCTATGGAGATCTGGCCCTGAGCAGCATGTCTGGATTCGAGCTTGAGCTCTTGTTCCATGGTTGCACCTGTTCTGCCCTCAAAATGGTGAACAGTTTTCAAAGACTTTGGGCATGCCTGGTACTGGGTGCTGGGCCACTGCAACTGGTACAAAACAATCAGAAATAGCTCCATCACGGTGGGATGGTTGTGGCCCCGCAAATGTACTTCTTTCCCAGCCAGGACTTAGGACAAGGTGTGGCTTGAGTGGGCATTGGTTCTGGCTTCCTGTTGCTGCCAGGGAGAAATGCAGCCCTGAGAGGTTCTTGCTGGGGCCTGGAATGAGGGCTGAAGTGTGTTCGAGAGTGTGGTGCAGACAGAATACCAGAAACTCATGGCCAGATCTGCAGGGTCGTCCCTGTGACTGACTGCAGGCATCTCCTAACCAGATCCTAGAGATACTCCTCTAGGACAGAGGACAGGTCCTGGGGTTTCCTGCTTAAGTGGGTGGTGGCTGGTTCCGGTGGGGAAGAGAGGGCTTCATGCTGATGGGCTTTTCCCCAGGTTCTATCATTTGCTCCTTGGGTCTTGGATTCAGCCCCTCTTCAGGGGCAGTCAGGACTCTGAGAAATGGCAGTGCAGAACATGACACCCTGGGGCCTGCTAAGGCTGACTCCCAGGGAATAACAGACCCAGAGCCAGGGAGGAGCCCATTTTCTCATGTTCTGTCACCTCCTTCTCCTCCCCTTTAACTACTCCTCACCTCTTCTTTCTTGGTAGGGCAGGGCTGCCCATCTAAGGGAGGATCTCTAGTCAGCTCCTCCCCACTCACCTGGTAGTTGTCTCAGCCTGGACTCCCTTTTCAGTTCTACTCACTGACTAGGCCTCAGACACTCTGCTTCCCCTGTGATTTTAGGATCCATTAGCCCGTTGTCCCATCCCAACACCCCATCTAGATCCTCTCCTCTGGTGTACCAAAACCTCTGTAGTCCCTCCACTTATCTTTGGCTCCTTGAACCTTCCTCGGCTCCCCACTGCTCTCAGCTGCCGCCCATGACGTTGAAAGCCTTCCTCTCCAGCCCTTCTCCCCCAGAGTGTCCCCCTTAGGTAGGGAGGCTGCTTCTCGCCGGCGACTCCTGTTGAGCCCTGGAGGCTGGGGCAAAGGCCATCCCCTGCATAAAGACGTGCACGCTCTACAAAAGTCAATCGGAGCTCTCTCTGAACTGTTGGCTTAAGTCTCTACTGCAACTGGGTCTTGGGGACTCGCCACTGTGCGGGGGGATGGGGGTGTTCGGGGCGCCGAGGACAGGGGAGGACCCTGCGGAGGGAATAATGGAGGGATCCTAGGGAGAGGGAGCGTGGCGGCTTCGAAGGGCCCCCCGTTTCCCCCTTCTTCCCATCTCCTCACCTTCCAGCTAGGAGAAGAGTCCCAGGCGAGTCGGGGCGGGGAGGGGCGGGGCCACCGCGAGGGGGCGGGCGCGGGGCCCCTGGCTGGAACAGCTTTGGAGCGGCGCTCGCCGCGTAGAGGATCTGGGAGTTGCGGCGCTCTCGCTCTGCTGGTGGGCTTGGCCATTCTCTACCTTTCGGCACCTGCCACGTTGCGGTCCCCGGCTCCAGATGGGGAAGGACCAGGGCTTCTCTCGGCACTTTCGGTAGCTTCTCCTCCGCGCCCCGCCTCTCTCTGGGAACCGTGAGCCCTGGGCGCCGCTGACTGATCTTTCGCATGCCTGAAAGAGGGTGGGGCTGGAGCTTTGAGGGACTTTCAGTCCCTGGGTGGGCACCTCTGACCCTAGGCGGAGCCCAGGGGCTGGGTTGGGTGTAAATAAACTGGGCAGCACTAGGGTGGCAGGGTCTCCACTTTGGGCACTGGGAACCTGCACCTGGCCCTAAGGGTTACGGTCCAGACAAAGGGCTGGGATTGAAAAGCCCTCTTTCCTTCCTGTGACTGGGCTTGTTGATGGGACAGAGCAGAGGGCCAAGGGTGGAATCGGGCGTTCTGGTGAGAACCCAGTACATCCCATCCTGAGTTTGGAGGGTTGATTTCCTTACTGCCTGCATGGGGGCTGAGGCTACCCTCATGAACCGGGGCACCCTCACCCTTTCCCCACCAGTTCATTGGCTGATGATCAAGGGTGAAGTGGAGAAAGTGGGGCTTTGAGAGAGGACCCTAAGGGAGTTCCTGGTAGGAACCTGGAATTGGATTTAGACTTGAGCCTGGCAAAGAGAACTGATCATGAATGCAAGGTCATCGTGTGGTTCCTAGGAAGAGTCCTGTGGCCTCAGAGAGGCCTGTTGGCATAGAAAAGACATAGGAGTCCTGGGACAGCTATTGCTAGACTGTCAGAGAGGTAGTGATTGGTCACAGTAGTCAATGTGGCCCCACTGCGTCCGGCTCTGGGTCAGTCAATTCAGAGCAGACCCAGGGTTGGGAGCCCGGGCCAGAGCTGCATGGAAGGCCCTCAAGCCAGGAAGGGTATCTGGCTCACTAGGCAGCCTTGGACTCTGTCTCACCCCCAAGGATGCCAAGCAGAGAAAGGGCCACCTGACCTTTCTTGACCTATGCAGTTGGTGACTCAGCCTTGTTCCCACTGCAGAAGCAAGGGAACTTTTTTGGTTACTGCTGAAAATTAGCTGTGATGGTCACCTGACCCTGCCCAGAATGGGCTTGGGCTGAGTGTAATGGGCTAATGCCTTCCAGAGCCTCTGGCTGGAACCTGAAATGTGAGGTGGACAGTTTCAATTTTGTCATCCTTCCTTGGCCTGGGCATGAGGCCTGAGTTCTGGGAGGATGTGGGGAATATATAGGCCAGGCAGATGGAGGCATCGGCTCCAGAGACCTTGAGTAACTATTTGGGGAATGAGGCTGAAACTCAAGGTTTTCGGGAATCTATACGGGGTGGGGGGGCAGAAACAGGCTCCTGGGAGTGTTGAGCAGGCCATTCTTTCTGGCTTCCTGGTCACCTGGAACATCCAGACCTGGAACAGAGCTTACTTGGGGGCAGGGCAAATGCACCCTCCTCCTGAAAGACCCACACCTCTTCCCTCCCACCAGGTGACTTAATTTGCCTATCTGGCCTCATTAATTCTATCCACGGAGACCAGGGAAACTGTGTGGGGACTGCTGGGTGACCAGTGGGACTTGTATTTCAGCTCACTGCAAGGCCACTGCCTCTTTCCTTCCTCTCCATTATGCCCTTGGCACTGGCTCCTGGTACAAAGAACAGGGAAAGGAGCTTTGGGATGCAGTGAGGGAGGCTTTCACAACCAGACCTTCAAGGGCCCTCTTCAAAGGTCCTTCCATAGTGTTGAGGTTCCCAGAACCTCAGAAGATTGGGTTCCCATTCTGCCTGTGCCTCGGGCCAGCTGAGTAAACCTGGAAAGTTATGAAACCTCTCTGTGCCTCAGAATCCTCTGCCATGGACCAGGGAGTCCACCAGGAAGTTAACTGCCACCTTTACTTAAAGAGGTGGTCAAGCTGCTGGTGGCCCCCTTGTTTACAGAGTCCTTCCCAGGTGCTGAACCCCACTATGGCTCACTCCTGAGCTACAGACCCAGCAAAGAGCTTCCAGTCTTGCAAGGGAGACCCATGGGTACCAACCAAGGAATCATCCCAGGGTGTAGACCCCACATAGGGGACCTTGCCTCCCCAGCCTCTCATTTCCAGGGTAACTCCTTTGAAAGCAGGAATTACAGCCCCGTCAGCTTTGAACCCCTGTGCCTGGCTAGCACAGAGAACACGGGCTCACTAAATACACATAGGATTAAATTGAAGGGAGGCCAGTGCTGGGTGTGGAAGGGTGAGCCCAGTTTAGCTAAAGGAGCAAAGAGCGTACCAAGCAGGAGTACTGCTTGGGCAAAAGCTTGGAGGTGGTCCTGGCCAAATATCTGAGTAGGGAGGCAGCTGTAGATGGGGCTGGTCAAAGAAGCCAGTAGGAAGATTGAATGTGTGATAAGAGCTTGAGGGAAGTCAGATCCTGGGCTCATGGGCTCCAGTTTTCTCTGAATCACCTGGAAACAAACTGGGGAGAGGGGAGTTACTGGGATCCCTGGCTCAGGCTTGACCTAGAGGGTGCAGAGGGAGTAGAGGAGAGGCTAGAGATGAAGGACAAAGACTGGAGGAGAAAGAGGTTCATGGACTGCCTTTGGTGGAACAAAGGCCCTCAAAAGGCCAGAGTCATGGGAGACAGACCCAACGTGATATTTCCGAGGTGGAGTGAGCCGGGAGCTACTCATGTGGCCCGATGTGGCTGTGGGCACAAGTCCTGGCACCAAGGAGGTGGGTGACACCTGCTGCCGATACACCTAACTCTGCAGCAGAAGGCTGGGAGAGCCGGGGTAGGCGCCCACGAGGAGTCGCCTTGGCCCGACCATGTCATCCTCACTGGTAGGATCTTCATCCCGAAGAAGCACCGAGCGCGCTTCGACGAGGTGGTGTCGCAGGGGCTGCTGGGCAAACTGTGCCGCGCGCGGCGGGCTCAGGGCGCGCAAAGACTGCGCCGGAGCCGAAGCGAGGAGCGGCCCGAGCGCCTCCTGGTGTCCACGCGCGCTAGCGCCCCGCCGCGCCGCCCGGACGAGCCGCCCCGGCGCAAGGCCGCCTCGCTGGTGGGCGGCCGCGCAGGCCCAGGGGGCGTGCGAAGGTACGCTGGACGCTAGGGCGTGGGCTGCAGACACCTCCCTGTCCCTGGGCTTGGGGGTGGAGACGTGAGCAGAGGGCACCTGGGGGTTGGCAGGAGAGGTTAAGAGGAGTAGGACGCTGGATATCTTCATGCCCTGTGCTCCAGGGCCCCCTCTCTGCAGGGCAGGTCATGCCCAACTCTTTTTCTTTCCCCAGGACTGTCCGAGTCTACAAGGGCAACAAGAGCTTCGGCTTCACCCTTCGTGGCCACGGGCCTGTCTGGATCGAGTCTGTCCTGCCTGGTGAGGGGTGGGCAGGTTGCCCCATGAGTCAGGAAGGCCCAAGATGGGATGGAGGAGCCTGTTGTAGCTCCTTAGAGTTAGAATGTAGGCTATTGCTCAGCCATGTCCCCAATCCCTGACACCAACCTTGTGTAGCCTGTGCTGTGGATCTAAGTCATGCATCTACTAAGTTTTTAAGTACAGCGGTTTCTGCCTGAGTCAGGGCACTGCCCTCCAAGTTCTTCACCCAGACCTTTCCTTTTTCCACAGGGAGGGCTGCCTTTTTCCACAGGCACTGTCCAGGACAGTAGGGAGCCAGGACTGAGCCTGACTAGGCCATGCCCCAAACAACATTCCCTGTGTGGAGTGCCCACTGTGAACTGGGCACTTGCTGAGCAGGCCAGATTCAGAGAGGTAGCAGGGATTCAGGGCCTCTGCCCCCTATTCAACCTTTCCCTGAACCAGGATGCTCCTCCCACCCAGCCTGCCTCTTCCTGCTTCTAAAATACTGGCATCTTGAAGAAGGTAGAGACTCCCCAGTGCAAAAATCCTTTCTTCCTACCCAACCAATGTGGGTGGGCAGTGCCACTTATTTTCATTGTGGAAGATCTCTGTAGGGCAGAAACATCTCCTAGCCCTGAACGGAGCTCTCCCTCCCTGCAGCCACCCCACCAGGCTGGGTCACCTGCTTGGTCCTGTATCTACCCTCTCCCAGCACCTGAGCATGGTGGCATGATGCTCCTGGTTGCATGTCCCTGTTGATCTGCTGTCCTTTCCATACTCTGCATCTCACATCTCTAGTGGATGGATTTGTGAGATGGGCATTTTCTAATCCCTGGGAAAGTGTCTCAGTGCATTTGCATAATTGTTCCAGCCTTCAGACCTAGTCATAATAATAACTGCCATGTTCTGGTTCTTGTTGGATTAGGGCATCACTGAGTTGTTGGCACAGTATTGTAAAGAAAAGGCAGGCTGGCGGGTTCGAACCCAGCCTGGGCCAGCTAGCTAAACAACAATAACTACTGCAACAAAAAATAGCTGGGCGTTGTGTTGGGCGCCTGTAGTCCCAGCTACTTGGAAGGCTGAGGCAACAGAATGGCTTAAGCCCAGGAGTTTGAGGTTGCTGTGAGCTATGACATTACAGCACT